AAACATAAACATATTAATATTTATTTTAATTTAAAGTCAAATAAACATAAACATATTAATATTTATTTTAATTTAAAGTCAAATAATTACGTATTTAAAAAAGAGTTAAACTAAGATAAATTAAGATATTTATTTTTAATTGTATTATTTTTAGGATAAACATAAATAGTTATTTAAAATTACTTGTCAATCAACAAAATATAAATATAATTAGCCTATTTTCTTTTTTTCATTTTACTCTCTCCATTAATTTATAGGTTATTTTTTGTTCTTGAAAGTCAAGCTATAAGGTGTATTTTTTTGTTCCTTTTTTAAAATTTTTTTATATAAATATGAAAAGAATCGCAACTAATAATGTTTTTAGTTGAATTGCAACTTAGCGAGAAGGTAATATTTATGAACAAACATAAGTTGCAATTCTTATTATGTTAATGTAATAATAATAAATATTTTTAAATATTAATTAAATATCAAGAATAAAAAAATATCATATAAATTGAGAGAGTATGTATATATGTAGGAGTTTATGGATGATTTTCTATTTTTATGAAAATAGTACCAAAATTTATATAATTATTGGTTAAAATTACTGATGATCTTTTTGTTATATTTTCTTGTTGCAGAATATTTGATGCATTTAAGTGTTTATGAAATTATTGAGAAGAGAAAAAAAAACGATTTATACCTCTTTCTATTAGTTATTAACTTTTTCTTTTACTTCTTTAAGAAATTATAAATAAAAATGATAGTTTACTATTTTAATCTTTAAGATAAACTTTTTTGTAATTTTGTACAAATTTTGTTTACACTTTAAAGAAAAATTAATAAAATTAAAAATTGTTGTTTAATTTTGTTAATTGACAAATAACTTTTAGTAACTTTTTTTAGTAAAATGGAAATGATTAATATAGGATAGAAAAATAATATCTAATGTTAGGAGTAGGATGAATTACGCTAAATTTCTTACTTATAAAATTATTTAAAGATAAAGAAAGTAGCAAATAATTGAAACAATGGTAAAAATGAAAAAAAGAAGAAGGTTGAAAAGCTATTACTATGATTTATGAGAGGAGCCTTTTGTTTTAAAAAAAGAAAAAAAGTGAAAATGTGTCAAGTGGGTTCAATCCCGCGACCTAGAAAAAACGTGAAAATGTGTCAAATGGTTCAATCTCCCGACCTGAGGCTTAAACATTTGACCTTTTACCACGGGCACCACAAAGTACTTTGGTACTGTGGGTGGCGGATTTATTATTTATATATAGACTGTGTATATATATACCTATATACATAAAGTTTTCGTCGAAGCTCGTGGGTGGCATGGCACCCCCACCCGCCTGAATAGATCCGCCCCTGCCTGTTGGATTATCCGGGTGAAAGTGATACATGTTCATATAGGTCCAGAGCTTAGAAGAAATTGTGGATACCATCGGAAAAGGCAATGTTGATGATGAAGTTGAAGATGATACTATACATTTGGAACCAGTTACGCGTAAGGAAGCAATTATCACATCTAGAACTCTTCACAATTTTATGGTATAGTTCGAAAAGACAACACTGGAGCTCTTGGATGCAATAAGAAAAGTTAGAGATGAGCTTCAATTAGATTTAAAGTTTAAGAAAAAACTAGAACACAATAGAATCATATTTCACTAAATTGTCTTAGATATATTTGTACTTTTAAAGAATTATTAATTTATGATATTAATGGGATCATATATTTATATAGGGGTCTTCTGGAAATATATTATCTTATTATCTTATCAAAATTGGTGATTTTTTCTATTGGCCCAAGTCGGAATTGGAGAAAAATATTACTTTAGAGAGATTAATAATTTACCGAGTATTAATTTATAGAGGTTTTACTGTACATTACATAGTCCATTAACCGTAATGAAAGGTTCCTAAAACAAATCAACCTCTTATTAGTTATTAGTAAAACTAAGTGATTATATATACCTTAAATCAAAGTGAAAGTGAATAATAATTTGTAAAAAGTGACTTGTTTTTCCTTCAAAATTTTGTAAAGGTGACTCCTCCACTGTCGGTTTAAAGGGATCATGACGCTCTCCATACTCCTCCTTTATAATAAATATCATCAATCATCACACAGTGCCATCCAACAAATATCAAATTTCATATTATATATATTGTCGTAGTACCTTCGAATCTTCTGGATTAATCACATACATGCATATGACATCCTTCCTTTTTTTATATATTTCTGACACAAATATGATTATCATATAGTCGACCTTAATTTATTTCGTATTGAAGCGTAATTGTTGTTAGTTATATTGAAACCAGCTGTGGATTCTTCATTTCATCTAGATGACTACATGTTTAATAAGTTTTCTCTTGGGAGGGGAAAAATAAATAAAAGGGAAAAAGTAAGTTATCTTTTGGAACCACTTGCAGAAAAATACTTTATTTATGTTACTTACTATTGTATATATTATCTAACATTGCTGATGAGAAATATTTAGATCTTATAGAGGATACGTCCTACCCAGTACAATTATTTGGAATATATACATTTTTTTTTTCATATGACATAATATAATAAGATTGGTAGGGTATAGGGCTCATTGGCAAATTTGATGGGAGTACTTTATAAAAGAAACAATAAAATACTAAAATCAAGAACAAATATGGGGTTGGGGCTTTTTCCAATTCCAAATTGATCAGCTTACGAGGAAATCGGGTTGCTTTGTGTTAATTTGTTGATAATTTTCAGACTCTACTGTGTGTGAGACTACACTTGAATATATTGTTATTAATGATTTTTATGATATAAATGTAGAGGTTATCTGATAGAATAATTTACCCTAAAATATAAGCTATTGCTGATTCCAAAACAAAATGCGTAGGCCCCATTCTGATTTCTGATTATCTTCCCTGCATTCATTCCTCTGAGCATTTCTTCTGGTGAGATCCAAGTTATCTGGGTATGATTATAATTAGTGACTTATCTAATGCTTGAGGAAAGGCTCAAAATAGTCCCTCACCTTTGGGTTAAGGCTCAAAGTCATTCCTTGAGTTTTCACATGGAGTATTAATAGTCTCTCATGTTTGCAATATTGGTGCACTTTTGGTCCTCGTCCAAAATTTTGCGTATTTTTTAACATTGATTTTATCCATAACTTATGTATGAGATATTCAATCATTATTTTATCTATTTAGGAAAAATTATAACTCCATATGAGAGAATATGAGAAGAAAAAACACCTTGTTTTGTTTAGTAGAAATCGTATTGCAGGTAAAGTCGAGAGGTTCATCACGATAATTTCACGTGCAATAGTACAATTTTTTTCTTTTCTTCCAACGTCATATGTTAAGATGTTCTTAGTTTAACTACAGTAATATTTTTACTGAACAGAACAATGTGTTCTTCTTATCACCTTCTCTCACATAAAGTTATTATTTCTACTAAATATATAAAAAGACGATTGGACATTCCTTACATAAAATTGTGAACAAAATTAATGTTAAAAAATAGGCAAAAATTTAGGGGAGGACCAAAAGTGCACCAATATTGCTAACATGAGAGACTATTAGTGCTTCATGTGAAAACTCAAAGAATGACTTTGAGCCTTAACCCAAATATGAGGGATTATTTTGAGTCTTTCCTCTCTAATACTTACCCATATAGTTGAGTGATCTTTTTATTCGAATAATTGTATATTGACGTTCAAACGTATCAGGCAGGCAAAGTTGAATGACTTTTTCATAAAATTTTTTTAGCTTAATACTAACTATTTAATCATTGGTAAAGTATGCAATTTTGTATAAGCACGCAAGTTTTCGAGTAGTATAAAAACGTTGCTTCGTGTGGTGTTCTGATCAAGCAGAATATTTCAGAAAAGCCGTAACTTGTAAGGGGAGTTTGGACTATCATTTTCATGATGTAAAATATAGTCAGACTATCTGTTTTACCAGGAAGTTAAATTTCCATGTTTGGTCCAAAACAGGTCATTTTCTCAACTTGAGAGGAGCAGAGGGTCGGTCCAACTAAAGTTTACTTGTCAAAAACTTCCTAAATCGAGATCGAGATACGTGCCATAGAAGCATCATTATATTCAAGTAAAACAGTTGTGTAACAGGATGCCTGCTATCCTTCGAGATGAAGTCAGTATTTGAAATTTTTGACTCTGAACTTACCATCATCAAATTCATTGTTCGTTTTAATTATTATATGTGTAATTAGTGTTTATACAATTAAATGATCTAAAGTAAGAAAATATTGAATTTGTCGAAACTTATGCTAATATTGTGTGTAAATATTACTTACGAATTGAATAGAAGAAAACTAGTAACCTTTTTGAGATCTTTTATATGTATATGTATATATATAAATAAATTTGTAAAGAGCTATAAAACCGAATCTCCACACATCCATCATGCCTGTAGCTCAATGTAGAAATGGAAGATGGGCTACTTTCCAGGTAAGTTCATCTTTCTTGACTACCCCACTTCTGAAACCAGACTTGTTATCCTTCTGACAGATGTCATGTGTTGTGGGGTTACCATTTTAAGTTAATTTTTTCTAAAGGCAAATGTATCTAGTTTTTCATTCCCAGACCATACCTCTGTTTTAACTCTTTAGTCATTGCTGCCCTTTTTGGTTCATGCACCTTTACTCAAACGCATTCCCCTTTTATATTTACACAAAAAATATCTACTCGTTATTACATCTGACACTATGACTCAAGCTTTTGTAACTCTCAAATTACCTGCAAATGGAAATGCTACTACTGTTAACGAAAAATAAATTAAAAAAATAAACAATGTGATCTGTATCATTGCGTATTATTTGGAATATAAAAACATATATAGGAGTAGGTCACAACTTGTCATATATATGCACATATAGCACTGACAATTCCATGCTGTGCTCAAAGGAACACTTCTCATAGTGGTATCCCCTGAATCCCTTTTAGCCCATCTTTCATTCTAATATTTCTATATATCCCCTGTTTTTTTCCTTTTTACCTTACAAAACAAATCATGGAGTTACAAAATATTGCTCACTCACTAGAACTTGGATTCTCCAATAGCAATATTGAAATGATACCATTGCAACCACCACTCCATAACTCCAATTACCTAATGACTTCTCCTCCATCTAATTTCTCATTCATGGGCAATCCAATTGAAGAGCCCGCCGCGATGCCAATACTTTCATCGATCGATGAAATTATTGCATCGGCGTCTCATGGTAGTGGAAATGATTACTCATGTTTACAGAGGAGAAATTCTATGGAGGCTATGAGGGAGATGATTTTTCGTATCGCGATGATGCAGCCGATTCACATTGATCCCGAATCAGTTAAACCTCCCAAGAGAAAAAATGTTAAGATATCGAAGGATCCACAGAGTGTGGCAGCCAGGCATCGGAGGGAACGAATAAGCGAAAGGATAAGGATTTTGCAAAGACTAGTCCCTGGAGGAACTAAAATGGATACTGCTTCAATGTTAGATGAGGCTGTCCATTATGTCAAGTTTTTAAAGAAGCAACTTCAATCTTTAGAGCAAGCCGCGGTTAATAATAGGCCGATGATTTCTGGATTTTCAACAGCAATGTCATCGCCAGGGCCAATGAATTATAATTCAAGCTCTATTAGGGCATGCCAGCCTCATCCATCCATGAACTCTAGTGCACAAAATGCTTAGTTAAAATAAAATGAAATAACATATGTACACGGCGTCCTGATCATGATCATGCTAATGAGTACTATTTGTAAAAAAATTAGCTAAATGGTGTGTGTTACTTTGATTTCCCAGTCATCCCTGAACCCCAACAAGGCTAGTCTTAGTTTTCTCTTGTGTTTGTACCAGTTGCGCAATGTTTTACTTTTGTGCAAGGATCATGCTAATTTTTTCAGTATCGTTCCAATTTTATCAGATGTTTCATAAGGGACTAGGTTTGTCTTGTGTTTGTAATTCCAGTCTTTCGCTAGAAGCAAGGCAAATGGTGAGCAGAGTTGGACATTTTGGATTTAATAGGCGTGGGTTCTTACACTGTTGAGTGGATTGATTGATATTCTCTCAACGTGTTACTAGACTTTGTGTGATAAGACTTTCTTTCAATTTCCTACAGAGTCATAAATGTATTTCTGTTTTTATTATGACTTCATCTTATTTTATATTTAAATTGAGTTTTATATAATAATATCTAGCACAAACAACGTTCTTACATAAGAATCACCTTTGATTAACAGGACTAAAAATGGGTCAAATTTTTGGTGATAAAAATGCAATTTTCCTTGGTATCTAATTAATATTGTGAGTGTTTTTATTCAACAAATATTTGTCAGACAATCGACCAACAATAATTAGCTAGTTATAATATTAAATTAGAATTGGTTAGCAAGTTGCACGTGAAATTACACATACAAATGTCTACCCCTTCGCAAAAAGAGCAAAGCAACAACAAGAAGAACAACTAATGAGATCTTTATACCAACGAGGCATTTCGCTTTTCAGACCCACCTGTTTGCAACAACTTGGGGTGCTGTCTCAGATATCTCCAACGACATTTTTTTTTTCTCCTTTTATTTGTGCACGTATACAATAAACTTTTTTCTTCTATCAAATTTGTTATTTTTCGTGGACATCTTTTTAAAGTCTTACTATTAGAAAATACTCCATTACATTAGTTATGAATTTATTGATAATTCCTAGTTAATGAAATTTCTTATTGACTATTGTCCATGTTAATTCATAGCTAAATGAGATTTTATTGTTTGACAATGAAATTTAGCTGTCGCTAATTCTTTATATTCTCTTTTATAAACCCTTTAGTTGTTTGTTTGATTAAGTAGTAGAGGTCGTGTCTGACAGAGTGACGGTAGAGGTTTTTGATGTGGTGGTTGTGCAGTGGTAGGCGGTTGGTAGTCAAAGTGCATAGCAATGGTCGTTTTGCGGAAGTTGCTAGCGGTGTTGGTAATAATTATATGGGTGGCGATGATTGACAACAATATTAAATATGTGGTAGGGATCAGTGTCGGTGGTTGTAGCTTCTATTATGCAGTGACAATATTATAGTCACGATAAAATCTGACATTCACGTGAGTATTTAAAGAATGATTTCAAAATTTGTTGCAAAGATTGAAATAAAAATGATTATATAAAGCTAATAAGAAGGTGTTTGGATTGATTTAAAAGTTGGTAAAAAATTTTTTTTTTTTTTTTTTTTTTATAAATAAACAATTCCTGTCATTTACTTCCTCCGTCCATTTTATGTGGCAACATTTAACCGGGCACGAAATTTAAAAAATAAATGAAGACTTTGAAATGTTTACCAAATTGTTCCTTCAAAAAATAGTCAACTTTTCTCTCTCCTCATAAATGTATTGAAGTACTATCTTTAAGATTAAGTGGGACCAACAAGGGTAAAAGAAGAATTGTACCTTTAAATACTTAGCATATAAGGAAATGTGACATTCTTTTTGAACTGACCAAAAAGAAAATGGTATCACATAAAATGGGACGGAGGGAGTACTTTTTTTTACCCCTCTCCGAGAGCTCCAAGCTTCCACCTTTTTGCTTCCTTCGTAACTTGAACTTACATTCTTAGAGTTGGAAGTGAGAATACTTATCATTTGAGCAACTTTCTCTTGTTAGAATAACATCTCCGGGCACCGGGTTGGAAAAATAAAAGATATCTGATCTTGGGGTCACATTTTGATTTCCCACACTTGATGTACAAAGCTTACATAGTTACATTGGAGCTTCAATTAAATCTAGATCTCATATTGCATGAACCATTTGGGAGTGTCGCTTTCAACAAAAAAAATTCATATTCAAAACTGGAACTCAATACCTTCAATTAAAAATAAAGCAGTTCCACTGCTACACCGCAACTCAGGTTGGTTCAATGTCAGATAATTACTTTTAATGGTCAGAAGAATAATAGATGGTGTAGTTTGTAGTGCTAGCATGCATTAGCACAAAATTAAGGAGCTTAGAAAACCTTCAATAAAATGTGAGGTCACAACATTTATCACGGAGGAAGAAAGTTGATAACCTAACCGCAAATGTAGCAGCAAGAATTAATGGACAGTGGGTGGGTTGCACTCTTACCAAGACAATGCAGCCTTAATTGATGGACCCCTACAAACACGTACTAGCAAGCTGTATTCCATTCCAATTACACAAACACACTTATTTCACCATTTTTTTTTGCATACAACCCATGGAGTCTCCAATACTTTTCTTCCTTATCATCTTCTTATTCACCATCACCAACAATGCAATTGTCATTGAAGCACAAGTTGATAAATTTGGTTTAGAACAACTGGTGAGTGAAGATTTTGAGTTGCCAATGGCAATGTCGTCTTTATACGAAGAAACAGAGGATGATGAGATGCAGTTAGATGGAAATGGAAGATCTCTATTGTGGCACAAATTCAAGTACTACATTTCATATGGAGCATTGTCAGCTAACAGAATCCCCTGCCCACCACGATCTGGCAGATCGTATTACACGCACCATTGTTATCATGCTACAGGTCCAGCTCACCCTTACACTAGAGGTTGCTCTGCTATCACTCGTTGCCGTAGATGAACAATTCAATTCAATTACCATATTTATTGTTGTTTATGATCTATGCATTAATTTTAGTACCTTTATTTGTGTGATATGGCTTGGGAATTGGGCTTCTTTGTGGTAGATCTACTACTTATCCACTGATGTTTGGTGTTCTCAGCTAGATGGAATTTTTAGCCAAAATTAGCTTCAATGTAGTTGCATTGTGTGTGTTTAATTGTATTCATATATGTTTAATTTTATTTAGCAACGATTTTGCTTCTATTATAATAATAATAATAAAGTGATTTTTTACTTGTGCAAAAAGTCATACGTACTTAATTACCAGCTACAAGTTATAATACACCAGTAGTAGGTAATTAAGTACTTTCATCGTCTCATATTACTTGCTCAAATTACTTGTCCATTTACAAAATTATAATATAATTTATTTAAAAATATGAAAACTTCTGTAGTAATAAAGCAAGAAGAAATAATAAGTGAAGAAGATAAAGGGCAGGTGGCGGGCCGGCCCAAGAATAGCTGAAATGGATTGGACTGAGCATGACCGATCTAGGCTCAAATCTCAATCTGGCCCAATATGAAAAAGATACTCTAAGGCCCAACCAAAGCTCGTGGAGGTAACTTCAAGTCAAAATTATTGTGGGTGTTTCTTTAGTTTTACTTTGAAAGATGATCAAGTTGTTAGTTAATTTCTAGAAGAAAAATAGAAATATATTTAGAAATGATGACCAAGAAATATGAGGAGGTGTTGAGAATGCACTTTAAAATCTTGACCAAAATACAATTGATCGAAAAGTAATTAAAATAAGAATAAGAGATAGAGATACACAATTGTTAAATTGCTTATGGTATCGCTCTCTAGATCTTTTAAGCAAAATAGTGCCCGTTGAAATTGCTAAAGAGGTTGACCCTTCCAGATTTGTCTTTTGAACTCTTCATCATATTGAAAAGGGCTACTAGTCCATGCAATGAACAATTGGGCTCAAAGTTCCCTCATATTCCTACTAATATTCCTACCTTATTGACCGGTGGATTTGTAGTGTCAATCTAATCTAGCACACAATCTAGATAAAATCAAATTTCTTAGAAATTTATCTCTAAATATCTTTAAGAAGGATTTGATTTCTCAAGGAAGCACAATCAAACATGGGACCGCTAAGCACAATTTTACATTCGGCCAACTGACCCTTTTTGGTGAACGCATTCGCACCCAAGATATATAATAAAACATCAAATCAAACCACTAATCATTTCTCTTTTTCATGGATATCAGCCACATGCTAAAATCTAATAATATTTTTCTCTATATCAAACGCATCCTTAATTATTCTTATATTTTACATGTTATATAAAATAAAATAATAAAAAAACAGAAAATCTGATAAATTTTGAACTGATAATTGGACAAGTCTAATAACTTCAAACAGTAAAAAGACCATTGTTTTAAGCTAGGGTCTTGCTAATGCCGGTGCTTTAGTGCCACTTTGTTTTCGCACGTGTTTTTTAGATCATTTTTTAAATTTTGAAGGCACTTTTGTTTCTACTCGGGGGAATTAATGGAACCAAACTTAGGTGTCGTAAGTTTAATTAATTAAACATGTGATATGTGAGCTAGGGAGGAATAAAAATTATTTAATATTCAATCAAATATAATTCAAGATACATGCATGCACTCTACTCTTTTCACTCGAATTTGGATGCACAAATTAAAGCACCCTCACAATTCAAAAGTTAGTATAATTTTGGCTAATGTTCCATAGATGATTTTTTGACTTTGTACATACGCAACGTTTTAGTTTGTCTCTATCCATAATACTATTTCTCTCTGCTGATCGATTAGAACATTAAAACTGACGTTCTATCACCCATGTTTTAATTTTTCTTCTTAATTAATATAGCTTGAATAGAAAATGAATATTGGATGCTTGAAGTAGGAATAACGCAAACTTTTTGGTTGATCAGCAAGAGATGATACAATATCTGGGATGGTCATTCTGTTTTCTTAGAGAATCGTTCTAAATTTATTTCATAACCCAAAATACCACTCAACTAACGGTAGTTTTCTAAAGTCACTCGACTATTGTAAATTCATCTAGAAAGTCACTCAACCAGTTCAAATAATTTTTTTTATTAAACTTTCCTGAACTAATTTTTTTATTTTAAGCTAAATTTCAAGAAATAAAAAGATACACATTTAATCATGGAATAAAAAACTCCCCTGTTCCCACATACTTGTAATATTTAAAAGATCATCGGCATGAGTTATAGCTATAAGCCTATAAGTTTGAGTGGATTGCATATAAGTCACTCTAATTATCTACTAAAGTCACTAAAATTAATTTTGTATCGACAAAGTCATTAAAGTTATATCAATTTTTTTCCACAAAGTCATTAAAGCTAAAAGAAACTTAAATCTAAGCCGGGTTCATGTGACTGTATCGGATCTGGACTGGTTCGGGATACTGGGCCCAACCCAACGACCCATCCCATCCCCCCTCCTATTCAGTATGGACCGGGCGGGACATGAACCGGGATTGGACTCCGAGATGTCCCGGTCACTGGACAGTCTTATAATAAGACACTTATTACCTACTTATGGTTGAAGAACAAGAGAGAGATTTTCGCCAATGACTGTATAAGAGATGCCTAAAGAATTCCTCGGGTTGTCTAAAGGCTAACAAATCTTGTTTTATCCCGACAAAATGATTGTATTATTGATAAAGATCTCTAGGAAAACCGATAAAAAAAAATTAAACATGTGAGAGGGTCCAAACGAATATATAACTGGTTTCCCTCATTTTTGGTAAGCCATCAAAATGAGCCTTTTTTCCTCCCGTGTGTCTTCAACACTATTCGCAAACCGACAATGACGAGAAGCCTTACGCAAAATCAGCTGCTTTTGTCGGTGCACGCAAAGCTCATAATTATTTCTTGCGTCTTTTTCTTTTACTTAGGTTATATACAACTACGAAATCAACATTTTTTATAAGGAAAATTTTTAACTTTGTTAGCAAAATTACTATTTTCACAATAAAATTTTATTCTATATATAATACTCCTAATATTTGAATTTGGGGCCTAAAGCAAATGCTTTACTTGCTTTAGGCTTCAGCCGGCCCTGTATACAACACCAGTATAATTTATTTATTTTCAATTCAAGTATTACAAAATAACTTATTATAAACGAATTACTGTAAATTCTATTTCTATCAAGTTTTCGATTAGTGTGATGAACTTTTAAACTTTATTAGATAAATAGTTTGTTCATTACCTTGAATTCCCATGTGGGGGAGTGATTCCGCATGAAACATGGCTGAGATAACGTGTGTTCACAAAAAAGTTACACACTCAGTAGCATTTTTGGCACAGAATGGGTTCTTTCCCTTTCATTTCATCGACGACAGCATAACCCCAATTTCATTTGTTTGATTAGACAATATACATCTTTCTTCCTGCCTAAATTGTCCTTAATTTTAAACGTTTAACGTATCCTTACCACATGATTTGATTGTACTACATCCATAACCCCTATTTTAATTTCATCATATATTAACTATAGTAACATATTTTTCCTTCCGAAACAAAGAATGACACATTTCTATACAAGTTGTACGTGTATAGCAACAATTTACATGTGAACGGAGAGAGTATATGTGATACATTTTAAAACTAAGTTGCATATTATTGAACACAAGCAAACTACATATTTTCCATTCACAAGTTATGCTACTATACATTTCACTTTGGAAATCATGTGAAAAAAACTTTGACCAAACGTGATTCATCAAGTGTGAACAAAATCTTGAACCTCTGTCAGTATGCATTCACCAATTATACATAATTACTAATTAGTATTAATTAGCAATGATTAGTGATTCCGTCCATGAGTTACGTACGTACCTTGTTTTTAAAATGATCGCACTATTGAACATGCATTTATTTTTCAAAAGAATTATTTAGGAATATAAAATCAAACCCTTCTCTCTTTCTCTATAATATGGATCAAATGTATCATTAACCAATACTAAACAAGTGATTAGAAGATGATTATGCAATGAATATAAAGTTGTCGGTTACCTTATGGCTTATACTTACAGTAACATCATATGAATTGTCGGTTGGGAATTAGTAGGTAGGGGGAAGTATGTTGGATATTGACTAGACATTTCATCCATCCAAATTCCAAACTAACGAATTTATACATTTTTTTTCAACATTTAATAGGAGCTAATCTTCTTATATCAAGGTTAAATCTAACAACTTTAAACTCGTTTAATGATGGGAGTTGGAGGATTAGTCCATTTAAACTTGCAGTGCTGATTAGGATGTTTAAAATGAGATGCTGAATGTTCATAATATGGGGAATGATTACTGATATGAATTAAATAATTATAAGTAGAGTAGCACCCCGATTTCTCAAACGAACACGTATAAAAGAGACAAAAATTTAATTCACCTCAATAATCACGTGTTCTCAAATTCAATTATAGTTTACCATTCAAATTTTGAGAGTCAATAGTTTAAAAAAATATATATATTTTCTTTATATGTTTTTTAAATATTTTTTAAATAATTAATTATTATAATTTTACGTAATTTCAAATATATAAATTTAAAGTTTTTTTTTTACTTGAATTCAATTGTGTCATTTAAATTAGACAAAGGGAGAATACACTACTCACTAGTAACTTTGTAAAATTCATATATATTATATCAACCATATCAGAATTAGTTAAGTAATTACCAAGATACTATTTTGAACTAATCCCAAATTTCTTTGAGATTTAACCTTAAAGATCTTAGTTTTACTAACACTGTAATTTATTTACTAAAAAATATCAAGGTTTGATTGAATGGACGTCCTTTAATAATGAAAGGTGTTGAATACTTATGTTAGGTAGAAATATCTTTTGCATCATCACGTGCGCATTTTTTATTTTAATTTAATATATTAAAGTATTTTCTTTTGCACAACTCGACTATTATACCAATAAAAAAAAATCAATATGCAGTTACGCACATGTGTTCGTCACTACATGTGTGAACATTAATTCATTTAATATAGCCATCAAATATGAATTTTGAAAAATAAAAATAAAAATAAAATTAGAAACCCCCAAACTCTATATATAGAAGTCAGCTGCTTGAAACAGAGCTCATTGCCACTTCTCTTCTTCCTTTTCTCTCAACAGAAGAAACCTTAAATTACCAAATTTTCAGCTCTATAAACTTCAGTTAATTAAACACAAAAATGGATTGGGTTAGAGGTGAAACAGTAGGGCATGGAAGCTTTGGCAAAGTGA